ACGCACTGCGTTCCTCGAGGCCTGCGATTTGCGCCCTGAAGCCTTCCCTCTCGGCCCCGGCCTCTCTCTCGCCCCTTTGCCGGTCCCTTCGCGCCCTCTTCACCCGGCCCTGAAGCAGTCAAGTTGGTCAGGAAGTTTCGAACGGAATCAAACTTTTGTTTTGCATCTGCCTTGTGTTTTGTCCCCATCCCACCTCCACCCTTTCTCTCTTTCTCTCTTACCTCTTCCCTCTTCTCTCGCTCTCTCTTTTTCTCTCTACCTCTCGTATCTTTCTCCTTCTTTTCTTCCTCATTCTCTCTCTCCTCATCCTGTATCTTTCTCTCTCCCTCTGTTTTTTTCTCTTCCCCTCCTCTCTTCCCTCTCTCCACCTCCCTTACTTACCTTTAGCTCTTTGATCTCCTCTTCCTTTCTTCCTATCTCTGGCATCAGGTCTCCCTTCTCCCTCTTCAGGTCGTTTGCCTCGTCCTCCTTGGCGTTGTAGGCTGTGTTCGTGTCCCGCATCTTGGCCTCGCACTCGGTCTGCGGAGGACACGACGCGCGTCAGGAATGCTTCTCCGCTGAGGGAACCAGATGCCCGAGAACTGTATCCTCTCTCTGTGCACGTACCTCTACTTGTTTGATTTCTGCTTCCTTTTTCCTCAGTTTCTCTTTGATGTCTCCGTTTTCCTTCTTCAGGTTGGCCGCCTCCGCCGCCTTCGAGTCGTACTCCTTCTGCAGGTTGGTCGCCTCCGCCGCCTTCGAGTCGTACTTCTCCTTCATCTCCTTCTCCTGCTCCTCGAGAAGTGGGTCAGAGTGATCAGTTATTCGTAATCTACACAACATAATTCACCTTTAATTTTTATTATTGCATTTAATTTCATGATCTTTCTCTTTCTTTTTCTTTTTATCCTTTTTTGAGTGCTCTGCATATCCACACATGACTAACCTGCATCTTCCTCCTCTCCTTCTCCGCCGCAGCACTTTCCTTCGCCTGAAAAGTAACTCGGTTTAGTGGACTCTACATAGAGCATTAAATGATTTCAAAAAGAGCATTCGTTTCAGTTCTCGACTAATAAACAGCAGTAAGGAGTGACCACGGCGCCAGCCTGACTGGCAGCCAGACTCCATAGCCTTGCTCCATTGCCAGCGCGTCTTCCCATCCTTATTCGTCTTGCTGGTGGACGCCCCGAGGCCAATCAGGGCGCCCACCGCCAGAAGCTTCCCACTTGAAGCTGCGTCGTGGAGAGGCGTGTCGCCCGCATTGCAGACGGGGTCCACGTCGGCCCCGCTCGCCGCGAGAGCTTCCAGCATCCTCCGCTGTCCACGGCGACTTGCCCAATGCACGCCTGTTCTCCCCGAGAGATGAAGAGATGAAGAGGCGGTCAGTGCCTTCGCTTAATAAGCTCCGCCCACCGAAGAGGTAATTTAATGTGATCATGATATTAATGATAATGATGATAATAGTGTAAAATGATTTAAAAATGTAAAAACAACAATAGCACTAATAATAAAAGTAATAATAAGAACAACAAGAATATTCTTTGTGTGTCTGTTTTCTATTTTCTAATTGTTATCATTATCATTCCATTATTATGATATCATCATTATTACTATTATCATTATTATTATTAGTGTTATTATCATTGTTAATGCTATTATTATTATTACTATTATTATTATTATTATCAATATTATTATTACAATTATCACTTTCGATAAAAATGACAAATAACAAATAATAATAATAATAATAATAAATAATAATAATAATAATAAATAAATAAAAAAAGTACAAATGACAAAATTACAAAGAAAAAAAGACAAAGGACAAAGAATAATAACACTGACTAAAAAGACAATAACAATACAATCACTAATAACAGTTATAAGAGAAATGTCGCTCCTGTCGCCTTACCATAGCAGTTTCTGGCGTTGAGGTCGACGCCCTTCGCCGCCAGGAATTCCACCGCAGGAAGGTCTCCTCCGTCGGCAGCTCAGTGAAGAGGTGTGCTTTCTGCGGGAGGAAGAAGCTTGTGTCAACCGCCGTGTTGGTGGGTGATGGGAATGAGGATGGAAATGGAAGCGAAAGGAGGATGGAAAGGGGGATGGGCATAGGGTAAGGAGGAAGTAAGAGAGGTGAGAACTAGCGAATAACAGTGAGAGGAAGGAATGGAGAGAGAGGAAAGAACGAAGGGAGAACGAAAAGTGGAGGAGACACGGAGAATGAGGAAAAGGGAATAAAGAAAGGCAAAAAAGGAGAGAAGAAGGAAAAGGGAAAAGGGAATGGGAGAATAAATGAGTAAGAAAATCTGAAAAATGAATAGAGGGATGAAAGAAGGAAGATAGAAAAAAGAGAAGAGGTAAAGAGAAAGAGGACAATGAAAAGACTTAAAGGAGGAAAATGAGACCGGGGAATAGAGAGAAAGAAAGAAAGAAAAAAAAAGGGGGGGGGGTCAGATATTCAGAAGAGAGAAAAAATGGCAAGAAAGTGGATAAGAGAAGTAAAGATTTTTTTTTCTAA